GAATACCCTAGAAAAACGAATTTGCATCCTATGTTCCTCGTAACTGAACGGATGTTTCAGATCAGGTAGAACCCCACAGAACTAAGTGCTAATTCTCTCTTTTATGGCAGACGTTAGGAAAAGGCAGGGAACACATTGTAATATGTCCCAGTGTGGGCTGGGCAATCTGTTCAGTTTTGCCGTTCACATTTGTTCGTGCTGGCTGTTGTTCTCTGTGTTTTCCTAGTTGTCCTGACCCATAATGAAAGCCAAAGATAAGGACTCGTTTTTCCAAAATCTTCCTCCAATTAGCTCTGTTCCACTTGGCACATCCACACCTGGTTTCCGTCTTGCCCGGCACACCTGAGAACGGTTGGGCTAGGTTTGTCGCATCCTCTTTACTCGTCTGCAAATTCTCTAAGAGCGATGATGCTTCCAGTGCAAACTTTGGTGCCTCCGTATATACCTCAGATTTGGTTTATTAACAACTGGTTGGCAGTCTAATCAATCAGGTTATCAGCTCCCACCTGGTAAAATTTCTGTGCTTTAGGAAACATGGCAACAAATCCCAGTAACAAAAAGAACACAGGTCCTTACAGCAGGCAGAAGAAAGACCATCCAGGAGACAGATATAAACATTTGAAAGTATGGCTTTCTCAAGACAGGCATCTGATAGCGAAATCTAAGCATTGTTTTAAAAAGGAGCTCTTTTATGTTACTACTAATGTTAACATATAAAATTGACATATAATTTAATTATAAAATTATACATAATCATAAAATATCAAGGAATAAACAACAAATATAAATAAAACATTAAGCTCTTCTGAAAGACACAGAAGAATAAATTATTATTATATTATTGACTAGAAAGACTCAGCATCATAAAGATATTAATTCTACCTAAATTAGTCTAAGAATTCAGCATCATTCTTATGAAAATATCATCAGTATTTCTGGGGGAAATTGGCAACTTATACATATTGTTTGAAAAAAAAATAAGGAAGATCAGGTAGGAAAATTCTATACAATAAAAATGAGAGAGACTAAATCTACCAGGCATTAAAATATGTTCTAGTGGTTTAATAATTAAAATACTATGATAATGTACATAAATATAGAATAGAATTTATAATATATAAATAAATAGATCTGCCCAGACATATTCATAGATAAAGGTGGAAATTTGTACCTTTTAAAGATGGAAAATCAAACCAGAGGGGGAAAATACAAATCATTTAATAAATGGTTTTGGGATAATGGGCTATTATCTGGGAGAAAAATAAGGCTTCATCCATATCTGACATATTAGATCAGTATCAATTCTAAACAGATTGAATAGAAATGTTTAAAAATGTGAAAGCATTAAAGTACTAAAAAAAGATAATGACAAAAGGGAAAAAGATTGCCGCTCACATAACAAATTTCCCTAATACAGAAAGAACTCCTAAAGTTCAGTGGAAATGGGAGCAAGAGCTACAAATGAGAATTCCCAGAAAGGAAATACAAATGGTTTTTTACCATATGAAAACATGCTCAAAGTAACTCATAATGAGAAATGCATACCGAAAATACTGTGAGGTACAACTTTTTACCGTATCAAAGTGGCAAAGATGAGAAGTTTGACCACACACTCTGTTGACGGAGGTGTGGAGACAGAGTCACCCTCCTACTTCTCCCGTGACAGTGTAAACCATAAGGCCTCTACATAGGGGAATCTGGCAATGTCTTACAAAGTTACAGAGTCACCTTTTCTTTGACTTGGCAACTCATTTCAAGAAATTCATTCTACCGATATACTTGTAAAAGCGTGAAATGTTTCACTTATAAATTTATTCATAAAGGCAGTCTTTGAAATAGCCAGAGAGTAGAAACAACTTAACTTTCCATTAGTAGGGAGCTGGTTGAACGAGTGATGATAATATCTACAATGGAATACTATGAAGTTGTATAAAGAATGAGGACATTCTGCAGGTAATGATACCAGAAGGTGTCTGAAATTACTAAGTTGAAAAACACAAGGTGAAAAATAACATGTACAACAAGGTAACATTTGTATAAAAAAGACATTTATGTGGGAGGGAGACTGTATACATTAGTGAATAAAGGAATAATTACATGTATTTGCTGATATAATTTTTAATAAAATAATTTTTAAGAAATCACATTTTGACATGTGCTTCCTCACGCGATGTTAAAACCAAAAACCTAATGCTGACTTTGTAAAGATTTTAGTTCAGGACCTGAGCTGCCATGTAAAACAGGGTCTTCCACAGACACGCCAATATCTTGCCCAGCAAAACAGTGGCCTGGCTGTAGGCACATTTATTGTGAAGCTAGCCTCGCTCCCTACCCGCTGAATTTTCCTATCTTATAAATTCCAACCCCATCTCTTTAGCAGCCATTGCAGAAAAGGATGAAATACAGTTGTTCGTTATATCAAGGAAATAACCAATTAGCCGTCAGACAATTCAATAAGCTTCGTATAAATCCAGTGAACAGATGATATCTCACATAATTTTGATGAATTAATGTTTATTCGTTTCTTGTAGAGCTATGCAGACCTCCCCATCTTCAGTGTCAATGTCATCCAGCTGTGGACGGGTGACAGGAAAAGACAGCCTCTGAAGTCCTTTTACTTAGCAGTGAACATCAGAGTTCCAGCAACAGTGAGCCAATGAAACGAATTTCCTCGGGCCCATCCCAGGCTGATCCTTCTGCCTCCAACCTCACCCCCTTCCAGCCCCAGAGTTGAACACACTGCAAAACTCTGAGTCAAATCTTGTAATTGCTTCCAATTTGTCTGTTTTGCTTTTGGCAATTAACAAACTTAAATGTTATCATGAAGGAGTTCATCTCATTTATAAGATCAGGTTTTCCCTCCACTAAAATATGCAGGCACTCTCTTCTTTATTACCAGCAAGAGATAAATGGCTGGTTTTCGTTGCTGAAGAATATATAATGGTTAAAAAGTCACTTTTTTCCTCCAGCTCTACATAAATCACAGAACTAGTCAATATTTAATAATGCTTGCCTTGGTCTGGAGTCCCTTGATCACCCCTGTCATGTGTAATAGCTCCCTCTCCGATATCTTTGACATAAAAGCCCAGCTTTACTGTAGTACTAACATGTAGAGGGTCATTACGGATCGACATTTACCTTAATCTGTGACTGCCAACCATGAACCGATAAATTCCAGCAGATTCCACTGGGAGAAATCAGTAAACTTCTCAGTGGAAAGAACTGAAGGAAAATTCTGCCGAGAACAGAATACATTTTCTACAAGGGCTGTTCTACAAATGGATTCTGACTTTTGAAAGTTCTCTTGCTGCGCAGCTTTGCAACATTTAATACCGTTTTGATGGTTTGAGAGACAGGATGACAACCGAAGATGACATGACTTAGAAGGCAAGCAGAAGTTTTCTCTGCAAAAACAATGCAAGATTAAACACACGGGGAATATGGCTCTTGCATTATTCACACGGATGCCTTGGTGGAAATGGTAGGGCTGTCGGGGTCCAGCCTAAATGTTACCTCTTTGTTTCAAATCGATCATCACTCCTTCACCTCATAATCTTACAAGTGCCTCACAGCAGAAGACATCAAAACCCTGATTGCATGAAAAAAGGACACACCAATCTTGGAGGGGATCAGCTCAGACTCTGACATTGCACTCGAAGTGTACAATTGCTTGCCAACCCAGTATGCAAACAGGGACATTCTTTTAGAACTTAGAAAAGTCTGTCTGTTTTCTTCTTTCCTCACCTGTTTTTGCACTGTGGGTATGCTTTTCAGTCCTAGAAAGAGTTGTCGACAATTCAGGAACAAAGAAAGATTTTAAATTCTAATGCAAATTATTTTGCTGTTAATAGCATGCATGACTATATTCATGTTACTGTATATTTGCTACAAATTTTAAAAAGAAATGCTGAGAACATCTTTTTAAAAAATAGTATGGCCACTTCTGGAAATAATAAAAGGAAACTCGGCGAAAATAAAAAGATGTTGTTGCTAGGTGCCATCGAGTCGGTTCCCACTCATAGCAACCCTGTGTACAACAGAATGAAACACTGCCATCTTCACGTTCATTGTTATTCTTCAGCCCTGACCCTCCACTTTACCAAGCATGACGTCCTTCTCCAGAGACTGGTCGCTCCTGATAACATGTCCAAAGTATGTGAGAAAATACATACCTATGTTTTTCTATGCTAGGGTTTGTTTAAAATAAGCACCATACCATGAACCACACCTGACTTACTGAATCAGATACTTTTTCATAACACTTTCAAGGAACCCCACGTAGTCTATGCCCTGTTCAATTAATTTATTAGCACACACACCAGCATTGCCAATTTAGTTTAAAAATATGAAAATGGTGAGAACAACTAGCTTAATTTAAGACAGACTGCAAAATTAAAGCACATCTCTTTGCATGAATAGCGTTTTATGTTTTAACCATCTCATTAAAAAACCAAATCAAACTAGTTGGCATCAAGTTGATTTTGACTCATGGCAAGCCGATGTGCGTCAAAGTAGAACTATGCTCCATAGGGTTTTCAGTGGTTGATTTTTCAGAGGTAGATCACCAGGCCTTCTGAGGTGTCTCTGGGTGGACTCAAACCTCCACCCTTTCAGTTAGCAGTGTACTGCATTAACCATTTCCACCAAACAGGGATCCCAAGCCTCTTATTCAGCAAGGGAGAAAGACTATAGAACATGCACTGACTAGCAGTTCTCGAACTTGAGAGTGTATCAGAATTGCCTGGAGGGGTTGTTAAAACACAGATTGCTGGGCCCACATCCAGAGTTTCTGATTCTCTAGGTCTGGAGTGGGCCTGAGACTTTACACTGCCCATGATCTCTCACACCAGACTCCCGCTGCTGGTCCACACTAGCTCTGCCATGTACATTATCTTTAGGGAAGATAAAAAAATTAAAATCTGTGGCTGAAAGAAAGGTTTCAAAACAAAGTAAATTGTTTTCTAATGTTATTTAACATTTAAAAATTACAAACAAATTACCTTGATCTGCATAGAAAATTCCAGTAAAAAGGACTGAGTATGTTAAGAGTCCGTTAGGAGAAGAAGGTTCTTCCCACTTTACATGGGCTTCTCGGGGTCCCCCTGCTTTGACAAACACGTTCACTGCTCCCTCAGGAGAGGATTCTAGAGTTCGATTTTCCACCTGCGAGTATAAAAAGATTTATTTTTGTTTGCAAATAAAGTAAGTACATGTCGCACTTTGAGCATATTTCTTCAAAGACTCTCTCTCTGCTGTGAAGTAAACTATTTTGACAGTAGCATCTTGTATGAATACCTCCTTCTGTCAGCAGGATCAAAGCATACCTCATGGTTTTTTCTTCCTGCTGGTAAGCTTAAAATTTGGGCTGGTTACCAACGCAGTTGTTCATGATTTCCAGAAAATTTGGATCAGCTCACATGTGATTGTCCTCACGTCTGAGCATATTCACAGACTACTTCTAGGACTGCTTAACAGTGATTTTTATGTGGTTGCAAAAGAGAAGGAATACATCAAGTCTGTTTTCATGAGTTTCTGCCTGAAGTGACAGAGTTCTGGGCTTTGTTAAAAGGCCACTCCAAGCATCTTGAGACATACACACACATTAAAACAGTTCTGCAAGCTGCTCTCCAGGTATGTAAAGATGGCCCCAGGCCAGACATCGAGACATAAACACACCTGAGTGATTTCATCCCAAGGTATAATCATTAAAAAAAAAAAAAAAAAAAAGGATGAAAACTTCATTAATATAGTGTTAATGAACCTTTGGAGAAAATAGCAAAAGATGAGTCATTTGACGAGAAGCATTCTGAAATAAAATGTAATCCCTGCCTGCACTATTACAAGAGCGATTTCCATAGCTAAATAAGTAAAATGACTAAGTGGCCAGAGAAGATGAAGTTGGCAAGAATGCAGAAAGGGCTTCAGGGTATTTTACTATTTTCTAATCACTACCTAAGACTTGGTTAACCCATTACCACAAACTCTTAACCATCATTCATAAATGTCTGACTTTTTAAGATTTATTGAAGATGTTGATAATTTTGACCTTTTTCTTAAAGTATAGGCCCATGCCTGAGAAGAAGGTGATCAGATGTGAAATCCTTGGGCAGGCAAATATTCTCAATTATTAAACCTTTATTTGTTATGGTGAATACACTTTCCCAATTATGAAAGTAAATGTGAAAAAGACAGTGTTAATTTTTAATAAGTATGAGGTCATGACATGCTTTATTTTCATCTGAAAAAGGCTATAGGGTTCTTTAGATCTATAACTTCTATTCTTTTTCCAACACAATAGCTGTGTACAAAAAATGATAAAGAAACAACTGGAAAAACATTAATCCATCACTTTAATATTTCATAAAGATGCAATTGGTTTCATTATGTCTATGTGTATAGTTCAAATTACTCTGTAAAGAGTAGTTTTAAAGGGTTCCAAATAAAATGAGGCAGAAAAAGTTGAGTAAAGAATTGAAGGCGATTCCAGATAATTCAATTCTCCTGTATATTATTCTCAAATATCTGGTTAATTCAAAATAAATATATTTTTAAATTTCTTTAAGTATCTGGATAAACACTACACTTTCTACCTTACTTTATAGATGTAGAAATAGCATTTAATAAATATATAAAGTATATTTATATTGTTTTATACTTGGACATCAGGTAATACAACTGGATTAATCATGATCTTTTGCTCAGAAAACACTATGATCATGGGTTCTTGGATGTTCCTTTTTTATTTCATAAATAGCTTTAAAAATTTTAATGATACAAGTTAACTTTTCTCAATAAGAAACTCGAACACAGATTTCCAGTCTTACTTTGTCTGTGTTTGCATAAAGCATGCATTTGACAATGGTACTTTTACTATGACCCAGTCTTTCCCCCCCCCCCCCAAACTTTTTTTAAAACTTGTATTTCCTAAAGAAGAATGTTAAGGAAAAGATGCTGGGAAGGAAAAGTTGACTTGTCTAACCTGGAAATCTCCCTTGATACAGACAAAAAATATTTGAGAACAAACATGCAGATTGCTCATCCTCGTAACATTTTCACCCTTAATAAAACTCTTACCGTGTGCAAGAAACCCCTTTATAAATACTATTTCATGTATCACTCCAACCTCTTAGGGTAGGCATTATTTTCCTTTTGTAATAGTTGAGAAAATGAAAGCTTAGCAAAATAAATATATTTCCCAAAGAAGCAAGGGGAATAATAGCAGACTTAGGGCAGAATTTCCGTATATGGTTTTCTCTTCTGTAACATACTTTGCCATTAAGATTTAGGTGTCTTAAAATAACAAATTTGCTTTCCTGTAAAATATGAAGACTGTGAAAGGATGAGTGTGTGTGTGTGTATTTATCCAAATAAGCATGTCATCACCAAGAAACCAAGACATCTTTTTAACCATATCACACAGCAGTGACCTATAGTTTCCCACCTCGCCCTTAAGAGGGCCCTAGAGAACTGGATCCGATGAATGTTCCAAGGCCAGACACCGTCGTAAAATTCCCAGTCTTAGCTTCCTGTGTTATCTAACATTGGCTAAGTGGAAAAAAAATAAAATAAAATACAGCTGTTTGCTTATGGACAAATTCCATATTTCGTCAGAGAAACACAATAGTAACGGGTTTCTCTCCAATATAATTGAAAGCGGGGAAAGCACTTAACAAGTTCTTTTCTGTTGCATTCTGTGATAATTTATTTCATTATTTCAAGCTTTTAAAAACCCAGTTACTGGATTTAATTTGACAATCCATATCAGCATCTTAAAATTAGGATCAAAGGGCATTTGTAATTTGTTTTTTATGTTGGAATGTCTTTAAAAGTTAAATACATGGTTTCAACTGGACAAGAACTGAACAAACTATCATGGACTCTTCTCTAAGACAGGCAGGGCAATTCCTTCAGAGTTAGAAATACTAGTAAAAACACTTGATTATTATTTTAGCCATGCTTGGGGAAAAAAAAAACATATTTGGCTAAAACAGCATTGAAATGTTAAGAATATGAAATGTATGTATGTATTTTTTTTTAATATTCTATTTTGCCAAAATTTTCCTTCTTTCCTATTTTTTCCCTTTTATTGTGTGAGCAACTTGCTAATTTTGAGTGTAAGCCATACCACATGCAAGACTGCAGAGCATATTTTTCAAAGAAAATATTGAATAGTATTTTTCTATATGCATGGATAATAGTGATATTCAATATGTAAGAAATGTTAAAAACAAACAAAAAAATAACAGACTTCTCTTTCTAAAAACCAAGATTATTGAACAATATTATATGAAGCAAAAAAAATTGACTCCAAAAATTTAGTTTTATTTCTTCCGTCAAGAGTTTAAAAAACAAAATTTATGATTTTTTTTGTTTGTCTCAATGAAACGAAAAATGTGTTGTAACATTGGGCTTTACAAAAAAATACCTTTAAGAGATACGTATACAGCAGTGCTGCATCTGGCTGAATTTTGATGACTATCACATATAATTTAATGATAGCAACGCCTGGCTTTTAAGCTTGATTCATAGATTTCTTAAATCAGTAAAGGACATATTTTTAAAAATCACCACCAAAAAAGAGCTGTATCTGTAATCTCTCCCACGATTGAGACAGATATCTAGGACTATTTAGAATACTCAGATCTTTTGGGGACATAATGTTTACTGTAATTGGTACAAAATTATTTCACAGAAACCAAATGACGACCACGAGTTCTAACTTCTCGGCAGCATATAGCTAACTTGCTCTAAATAAAGACGTTGCTGTTCAATCCCGGTGATTTGAGACGGACAGGACCAAGGGGAGAACATAACCGCACTTCCGTCAGGATGGAGTCCAGAATGTCTGAGGCTGTGACAGCGCAGAGTTCACAATCCAGTTCTGCTTTCTCTTTCCCATCAGGGCATCGCGGCGTTTGATTTCTTAAGGTAAATGTTACCTGCTTCTGGGGCAGGACACAGACTGATAACAGTCTCTTTGGTTTAAAGTTGTCAGAACATCGGGAGACAGTGTGGAAGCCAATTTAGTAGCCAGAATCACAATCTGCAGTTTATATTCTTAAAAATGTCTAAGTTTCAAGCCCATGTGAGGGATTCTTTTGTTTCTTTTTTTTTTGAATGGAGAAGGAAAGCTGGCCTAAAGCCATCCCTGCTTTTAAGACTAAGTATCCATCAGAGGAATCCTGGCTATAAAATGCTTAATGGCAATAAAGACTACAGCTCAGCTCTACCCATAGATGATGTGAGCAGCTTGGAAAGAAACCAATTTGGGAAATGAAATGGGAGGTGTGATCAAAATAAGAAAGCCAGAATCAAAACTTACAGCTGTTTTTCAAGATAATATTTATATAATACACTCTTCAATGAAGACAGTGCAATAAAATGGTACAGCATTAGCAAATACTGCCAAAAATATCTAAAAATAATGAGTATTTCCTTTAAAAGTAGTTACATCTATTTAATCAAGAAAAAAAGTAAAATATGATGTTTGGAAATGAAAGAACGTCATGCTAGTCTAGGACAATTATGTACCATTAATTGGGTTTTAAAAAACATATTAAATATAAAAAAGAATTTTTTAAAATCTTTTCAGTGGTAATGAATTACAAGCATAAATTATAGATTTCTGAAACTGGACATCAAAAACTGATATTAATGTAATTTTAAACCCTGTTCTTAGATCAGACAAATGAAGTAAAAATATTTTAGTCTAACGTTGTGTTGTTTTCGGTGCCGCCCAGTCAGTTCTGACTCACAGTGACCCCACGTACAACAGAACAAAATACGGCCCAGTCCTGCGCCATCCTCACAATCATTGTTATGCTGGAGCCCATTGTTGCAGCCACTGTGTCAATCCATCTCATTGAAGGTCTTCCTCTTTTTCCCTGACCCTCTACTTTACCAAGCATGATGTCCGTCTCCATGGACTGGTCCCTCCGATAACAAGTACATAAGATACTCCTGCCATCTTCCTTTATAAGGAGCATTCTGGCTGTACTTCTTCTAAGACAGATTTGTTTGTTCTTCTGGCAGTCCGTGGTATATTCAATATTCTTCGCCAACACCAGAATTCAAAGGCGTCCATTTTTCCTTGGTTTTCCCTACTCATTGTCCAGCTTTTGTATGCATATGAGGCAATTGAAAACACCATAGCTTGCGCCAGGTACACCTTAGTCCTCACAATGACATCTTTGCTTTTTAACACTTTAAACGGGTTTAATATATGAAATAAACTCTACATTTTAATCGATTAACTTACTTTTTGTGGAACAATGTCGCCATATTGTGACAGTTATGGACTTTTAATTATTTTTCACTGTTAATTATAGGCTTACTTAGTTGTTGGATGTATTACTAGTGAGTGAAACCTTCGCTTTCAATATTTCCCTAAATTGGCCTAAATTTTATCTGTGTCTACTAAAACTGCCAACTTACTGTTCATTCCTTAAAATGTATATATTCTGTCCTGCACCAGACCTTTGTGCAGTCTTGAAATTTATGTTGAATATAAAGTCTTAGTAACTCTTAAATGAAATTTTATAAACTCTTCCATCCTGCTTGAAAGGCTAGCTGTGCTCAGTGTGCTAACCACCACTTACTGCTTCCCTGGTATTCACTGTCATCTGACATTTAACCCTGGACCAGACTGTAAATTTGCACACTTACCAGCGGGCCCATCACACAACCTTTGGCTGTGCACGCCTGGACTTGGAAGGAATGCAAGCTCCAAGGAGCAAATCCACGAGCATGACAACTGAGTTCTGAGGAGTTGTGAATTAATACACCATCTAGGTATAATCCATAACTTGTTATAACACCTGGGAAGATAATAATTTGCTTTTAGTATAACTACTAGACAATAGCAAAGAATGTCTTAAGAAAGCAAGTACTTCTTAACACCATTTTTAGTTTCATGAAATCACTGAGACTTGGTAACTGATGTGTCACCTAGTCTAAACCCTGCCTCTTTCCAAAGTATAAAAGAGGCTTGAAACCTTTGAATATCAAATTGTCATGCTAATTAGTAATAGAGACAGAAACAGAACCCAAGTGTTTCAGCACGGGAATCTTTCAACTGCACCATGATAAATGTTGTAACTTGTGTTCTATATCAGAAATGTCAAAAGTGAATAAATTAAATACATTCACAATATTTATTGCTCTATAAAAGATACCCTCTATAGATGTGCTTCAAAAGTAAAATGACCTTATTTGTTAATGCATTATATATTACTCATAATGTATTACTCACTGTTCTAAGTACCTGACATGTATTAATCCATTTAACTCTCTCCTCACAACAATCCTATAATGGAGGCAGTATTATTATCACCATTTTATAGATGAGGAAAAGGAGCCATAGAGAGAGAGATTGAGTAACTTGCTCAAGGTCACACAGTTAGTAAGAATTCGAGTCAGGATTTGAATTTAGGTAGTCTGGCTTCAGAGCCCATGCTGTCAGCTACAACATTAAAGTACCTCCACATACAGCCTTGAGCTAACTGTATGCAGTACGTTCAGGAGGCACTCATAACAGGGTTAGAGACACTATGACTTACTTGCTTTAGTGATGAACTAAAATTGATTTCAGAAGGAATATTATGTGTACTGTCATAAAATCAACTAGTAGGGATATGAGAAATTTGAAGAGTTATTGAATATAGTCATTTTTATTATTCAATGAAAACATTTTTTCGTTATTTTTTATTCTGTGGCTGTTAAGAATATACACAGCAAAACATACACCAATTCAACCATTTCTGCATGTAGAATTCAGCGACACTGATTATATTCTTTGTGTTGTACAACCATTCTCACCTCCCTCCATATGGGATTTGGTTCCTTGGTTTGGAGGTTTAGGACCATGGTTTCATAGGACGTCCCAGTTAATTGGCCTAACAGTGGGCTTAGTGCTTCTGTCTACTACTTCTTAGTTTGTTGTGTAGTGCCTGGGATCTTAAAAGCTTGTAAGTGGCCATCCAAGGCATGACAATTGGTTTCTGTTCGTCTGGAGCAACAGAGGAATAAGGAGAGTCAGAAATAGGAGGGGGATATACATTGTGTGGCTGATTGCCTCCGTGAACAACTGCCTCCTTTGCCATGACACCAAAAACACTGGAGAGTGCCCCGCTACCGTCACTGAAGATTCTGATTAAAGACTCTATAGAAGAATACTGATCAAAAGAGGGAAAATGCAGACCAGAATTTCAAATTCTCATAGACTTCAGACTTTCTGGAGCCATGGAGGCTGGATGAACCACAGAAACTATTGCCCTGAGATAATCTTTAAACCTTAAACCAAAAATATCCCCTGAAATCTTCTTAAAACCAAACAAAGTTTAGTTTAACTAGTGAAAAACGTCAGACTTGAGCTGCTCGAGAAGACAAAGTAAAGTACTATAATGAAATGTGCAAAGATCTGGAGTTAGAAAACCAGACGGCAAGAACATGCTCGGCATTTCTCAAGCTGAAAAAACTGAAGAAAAAATTCAAGCTTCAAGTTGCAATACTGAAGGATTCTATGGGCAAAATATTGAGTGACCAGGAAGCATCAAAGGAAGATGAGAGGAAAACAGAGTCACTGTACCAAAAAGAATTGGTCAACATTCGACCATTTCAGGAGGTTGAATCAAGAACCAATGGTACTGAAAGAAGAGGTCCAAATTGCACTGAAGGCATTGATGAAAAATAAGGCTCCAGGAATTGATGGAATACCAATTGAGATGTTTCAAGAAATGGATGAAATGCTGGAACTGCTCACTGGTCTATGCCAAGAAATTTGGAAGACAGCTACCTGGGCAATCGACTAGAACAGATCTATATTTGTGCCAATTCCAAAGAAAGGTGATCCAACAGAATGTAGAAATTATCAACCAATATCATTAATATTGCACAAGTAAAATCTTGCTGAAGATAATTCAAAAAAGGTTGCAGCAGTACATCAACAGGAAACTGCCAGAAATTCAAGCCCAATTCAAAAGAGGACGTGGAATGAGGGATATCATTGCTAATGTCAGATGGATCTTGGCTGAAAGCTGCGAGTACCAGAAAGACGTTTACCTGTGTTTTACTGACTATACAAAGGCATTGGACTGAGTGGATCATAACAAATTATGAATAACATTGTGAAAAATGGGAATTCCAGAACACTTAATTGTGCTCATGCATAACCTGTACATAGATCAAGAGGCAGTCATTTGAACAGAACAAGGGGATATTGCATGGTTTAAAATCATGGAAGGTGAGCATCAGGGTTATATCCTTTCACCATACTTATTCAATCTGTATGCTGAGCAAATAAAGAAAAATTCGGCATCAGGGTTGGAGGAAGACTCATTAACAACCTGCGATACGCAGATGACACAGCCTTGCTTGCTGAAAGTGAAGAGGACTTGAAGCACTTACTAATGAAGATCAAAGACCACAGCCTTCAATACGGATTACACCTCAACACAAAGAAAACAAAAAAATCCTCACAACTGGACCAATAAGAAACACCACAGTAAGTGAAGAAAATATTGAAGCTGTCAAGGATTTCATTTTACTTGGATCCATAATCAATGCCCATGGAAGCAGCAGTCAAGAAATCAAATGACATTGTATTGGGCAAATCTGCTGCAAAAGACCTCTTTGAAGTGTTGAAAAGCTGGACAATGAATAAGGAAGACCAAAGAAGAATTGACGCATTTAATTATAGTGTTGGTGAAGAATATTGAATATAGCATGGACTGCTAGAAGAACAAATAGATCTGTCTTGGAAGAAGTACAGCCAGAATGCTCCTTGGAGGCCAGAGACTTCATCTCTCGAACTTTGGACATATTATCGGGAGGAACCAGTCCCTGGAGAAGGGCATCATGCTTGGCAAAGTAGAGGGTCAGCAACAAAGAGGATGATCCTCATTGAGACAGACTGACACAGTGGCTGCAACAATGGGTTCAAACATAGGAACGACTGTGAGGATGGCACAGGACCGAGCAGTATTTTGTTCTGTTGTACATAGGCTCGCTATGAATTGGAACCAACTCAACAGCACTCAACAACAGTAAAAAATGTCTGACTTGAGCATTATGCTCTCTTAATAACCATATATATGGGATCAAAGTGACAACAGCAACTCAAAATATTAGATAGAATCCTTAGGTGGCAGTGAGTTTACGTTACTAGGGGAGGAATGACTCAGAAAAGGAAGGTGAGAACAGTTGCTCAATCAAAACATTTTCATCAAAAGGAAGTTAGGGGTCTCCATAACCAACGGTCTATGATCACTAGAAATACAGAATGCTCAAACTGACTAAACACTATATTGTGGGAAACAAAATTTTACTTAAGTACTAAATTAGAACATCTTTCAATGTAAAATTAATTACAAAGTGGCCTTCCAAGTATGCCCTTGAGGAATTATCTTAAATGTTCTTCTGTCAGGTAAGCCTTATTCTAGGACAGAATTTGGAGTGCTTCACCCACATCTCACAAGACTTCTCCATCACAGCACTTGTCCTCATACTATTATTCCTTGTTTAATTGCCTGACTTTGCTGATAGATTATAGGATCCCTAAGAATTGATGCATTCGATGGCGTTGGCGAAGAATACTAAATATACCACGGACTCCCAGAATAATGAACACATAAGTCTTAGAAGAAATACAACTACAATGTTCCATAGAAGCGAGAATGGTGGATTTCAACTCACATATTTTGAATATGTCATCAAGAAAGAACAATTTCTAGAAAAGGACATCATGTTTGGTAAAGTAGAGGATCAACGAATTTGAGGGAAACCTGTAATGAGATATATTGAAATAATAGCTGCCACAATGGTCTCAAATATACCAATGATCATGAATATAGCACAGGGCCAGGCAATGCTTTGTTCCCTTATATGTGGGATTGCCATGAGTCGAAGCTGACTCGATGGCAACTAAGAACAACAACAATCATGTAAGTATGAAAGTCTACAGCATCCCAATGAGAACAGGACCGCTGAAGACACAGAGCTTTTTAGTAACGAAGGACTGAGTCCCCTCAAAAGGGAAAGAAGCCTAATCATATGAGCTACAGGTTGAGGGCAAGGGGAATATCAAAGATGAAAGTTAGAATTAGCAACTATGACCTCATGTTTCATTACAGAGATGAGAATCATAGATGTTATGTATGTTTCATTTCTAGGTTTTCATATGTAGATTTGTATATGCTAATTTTCTCTCCTCTTTTTCCTGTTACTTTTGTTTTTGTGTTTAAAGTTAGTAGATGTTGATTTATAGTTTAGTCATTGAGTTACAGAATATCCAGGTGGATTGTGTCTAAACTAAAAGAGGAATTAACATCACCC